AGCAAGTGAACCCCCCAAACGGTGAGACTTGACTGGAAAAAGTGGTTCGCATAGGCAATAAAGCATCTGTGACGCTATACACAACTGTCTACAAGCTCTCCAGCCTCCAGCAAGCCCAAAGACCCCCACACCACACAGATCTAAACCACCCGCCGAGCAGGAACTTCAGCGAACGCCAGAGACCCCGGGAAGGTGTATCATTGCCAGATCACCAATCCTAAGGCAAGGGTAACTAACGTTATAAATGTGGCAGTTCTGACCACTGGGTATTGGCTGTCGTAAAGGTCACTAATGTTTCAGCCTCGTCTAATAAATTGACAAAAACCCCTTTGGTACATCTTGGATAAGATTGATGCCCGTTCAACAGACAGCCCCTCTTCAGATTCAGCTTCATTTAATTAGCCATGTGCAGGATATAAAAACTACATTGAGAATAATTTGCAAAAAAGGAACTCGTGTGCACCGACAGACCAAATAGCACGTTACAATGATAATATAAAATTACACATACACTGAAAATAAAAGAATAAAAAAAACACAGCTGTCACTGTGGCACCGATCCACACAAAACGATACAAGGGCTAAAAGCAGGAATTAAAGTTCTCTGTTTAGCGAGATGTCTTGCATCTCAGCGACCGATATCTTCTCCAGAGGGGAAGAAGCATGGAACATGGCTTTCCCAGGGTGGCCAGAAGAAGTCAGTGATGATTTTAAGAGCTCTGTTTAAAGGTCTGGATTCTTAAAGACCTCCAGAACAGAGAAGCTTACAGCCAACAGTCCTCTTTGCAGAGCGACGAACCTTGTTTATCGCTCTTTTCTTTTATTTTGTGATGTTTCCGAACCACACAGTCACAGAACCAACAGTAAACTCCTCAATGGTGCAGCGATAAAAGTTAAGCCGAATCTTAGAGTTAGTGGTTAAATTCTCTAAGTTTCCGCAAAAAGTAGAGCCGCTGACGAAGCCTTAAATCACGGTGCACACGGGCTCTTGCAGCGACGCCCTGCACGGCGCTCTTGGTAGTCTTCTCACTAGTACGCAAGACAAACCGACCTAAGCTAGTGCGGACGAATATGCCTGTCAGAGCGCATTAAATGAAGTGTATAGACTGTTGTGGGAAGTGGTCACAGGTGTATATTATGGAGTGGACTGGAAAATATATATTGGACTATTACAATGTTGTGGCTGTCCAACACTAGGTGGCTGCATAGTGTTGAAAGTGTGTGCCCGTGGAAACCAAGGAGGAATGAGGGGCAGCAGGCATCAAAGAATCAGGGTACATGGGAGGGGCCACAAGGGGAGCTATGGGATCCACCTGTGACCTGGAGCCATCTCGCTCCAGAACAGCAGCAAAAAGTCAAGCAGATGCTGAGAGAGGAGAGCCAAGGTGTTTGCCATGGACGATTGGGACACTGGAATTATTAAAGAACTTCAAATGAACATTCGCAGTTAAAACACAACGTCCCAGTCCAAAGGTCTTATAACTCTATCGCACGTCATCTTACAGAAAGTAAAGTCTCACATTCAAGATCTGCTGAGTAGAGGATGGAATTCAAAAGTCATGTTCACAATATTCGTCACCTATAGTATGTGTCAAAAAAAAGATGCGAACCCTCCGTCTATGTGTGGATTACGCTGTTGAACCAAAAGACTTTGCCTGATCGCCACCCACATCCCCCGGATCCAGGAAATTTTGGAAAAATATGGGGCCAACTCACGGGGGCAACTCATGGTTCACTGTACTGGATACAAGGCAAGGCATACCATCAGGGCTTTGTGTGTGAGCAGAGCCCGCCCATATAGGAAGATCCGCATGACCGGACGGGATCAGTCCAGCTCTCTGAGGTCCCTCACCTACATATAAAAATAAAACCTGAGCCTCAGCCCCTGGAGAAGGTCCTCTGTCCTGTGGAAGACCTCTTGTGTGATCACGGTTCCTAAAACCGCGCAAGCCAAGGAACCGGCTCACTACAGACCAGTCGCACTGACCACCCACTGATGAAGACCATGAAGCGGGCCTCATCCTCACCCATCTCCGCTCTGCTGGTCAGCCCCACCTGGACCCGCGGCAGTTCGCCTACAGGCCCAATATCGGTGTAGAGGACGCCGTCAGCTATTCCTGAAGCTGGACACGCTCTCCCACCTGCGAGCCACCGGGAGCGCAGTGAGGGTAGTGTTCTTCGACTTTATTCCAGTGCTTTCAACACCATCAGGCCGGTACTGCTGCGGGGGATGATGGAGGGTAGCAGGAGTGGACAGTAAGCCTCACTGCATGGACCATCGACTACTCTCAGACCGACCACAGTACGTGCGGCTGTGGCTTGCCAGTGAAGTGAAGAATACAGGGTTGACAAGGCTGCAACTAACGATTATATTAATAATCGATTAATCTGTCGATTTTATTTCTACGATTAATTGATCTATCGGATAATTTTTTTTATTTCTATCCCTTTATTAAAAGACTTGGCCATGGACCAACACAAAAACATACTATGCAGTATCTGCCAATTGGCTTGTTTTAAAAACTAAAGTGCACAAAGTGTTTTTTTTTTTTTTTTTTTGAAAAGGGACCCGAGCAGTCAGAACAATAAATAAATAAATGATAAATAATAAAGAGAAATACAAATGCAGGATTTATTAACATTAAAACTTGTTCGCAACACTTAGGATCTTGAGTGACACTGTCACAGTGACAGTTAAACAGTTAAAAAGGTGAGGAATCCATTCCCATTAAGGTTGGGCGATATTTTTTTTGTACCGGTATACCGGTATAAGTAAATTAAATGATAAGAAAATGCCTTATACCGGTGAAAACGATCATTTAACACTGAAAACAGCGAGCGGAAGACACGTTTGTGTGCGGCGCACTTTGATGACGCATCTGCGCGACACGTGTAGCAGAGCGGCGTGCAGGGACAACGACAACAGAGCAGAGAGCAAACATGGCTGAGGGCGGCGGTGAAGACCATGGTGAAGACATGCAGATTGTAGAAGACATTGCCAAAACGCGGAGCTACCTCAAACATATGGGAGTAGTTTGGGAACTAGATAAAAAGAAGCAATTGTGTGTAACTATCGACAGTGGATCTAATGTTGTGAAAGCAACTGCCCTAAACAACTGGACTCGAGTGGTTTGCTTCGGACACTCGCTCTCTCTCTCTCTCTCTCATAGTGCCATTGGTAAGCTTTATTTACTGTTTACTGTCATTCATTTTACTTCAATGCATGTGTTTGTCTACATTGCAATATAATTACAAATAAGTTATAATTACATAATTATAGAAACGCAAAAGGATACAAAAAATATATACAGTATTTGATCATTTTGACTATATTGGGATTAGGAAACATAAGCCAAAGTGATCAAATAATTATTTGATAATGCTACACTTTTTATATTACAAAGGACAAACTTTTATATATTTTACAAATTACAAATGTTCACCTTTATTACATGTTGCCTGCAATTTTCAGTATGTACAAAACAGAATTCTCTACAATTCAGTTTTGTTAATACGTTTTATATACAATAGCTGTATTACACATTTTGCTGCCAATAAATCAGTAAATGCACTTTGAGGCAAGTGTGTTTAAAATTATCAGTGCTAAGTTTTTAAGCTTTTATATGAGGCTTTGTTAAAATTATCATATCGTCATATCGTGATACATACCAACAAAAATCGTGATACATGCTGAGGCCCATATCGCCCAACCCTAATTCCCATATGAGTTAAACTATTTCAACAAAAGATTACTGTAGTTTGGATTAATCCTTTACCCTGTTAAAGCCCTATTACAACTAGGGGTGGGAACCTAAGGGTACCTCACGATACGATACACCATACAAAGCTCACAATAACGATAATATCACGATAACGATATTACGATAACGATTTTATCACGATATGACGATTATTGATATATTGGTCAGAAATATACAATATGCCAATTTATGGCATAAATAAAAGAAGAAATACTCTTTATTTCATGATAAATAGAATGGAGATGCGTAATGTAGCCATATATTAAGTATTGATACGAATTAAAAAAAAAAATTGATATTGATACTTGGCAAATGCATATCGATAATCGAATCGCGGGAGAAAGTATCGCGTATATCGTCACACCCCTAATTACAACCAATTATAGTGGTTTTGTAGTGATATTAAGCAACATGACTATTGACAATTGACTTTTTGTCCATAATGGTTAATTTTTACTGCCCACCACCTCCATTTTTTTTTCAAACTATACCCTTTTTCTATTTTAAAGCCCAGTGGTGCGGCTGTAAGTGCCAAAACTGTCATTATGTACTTCGGCAAGACACTACATCCACATTGTCTGGAACAGGGATGTCGAACTCAAATACAGAGTGGGCCGAAAGTTAAAACTGAACAAAGCAATGTATTCTAGGACTATTTCTTTTTTCTTTTGTTGAAACAAGAAATTGAATAACCCCCTTCCTAAATATAGGTACATTTGTCGGACCTAAAACTTGGTTTGGGGTGGAAGGCCTCAGATTTCATATTATTGGTTTGCGACCCTGAGACCCTTTTCTCTGGACCTCCGTGATTTTTTTTTTTGGTCCAAAAGTACATTATCACAATTACGTGTCAAATTTTCACCAAAAGCAATTTGTAAACGGGCAGGCACGAGGGCGGGGAGTATGTGGGGAGCGGGTCCTTCGGAGAAAACTATACGGAGCTATCAAATAACTTTAGCAGTGTCTGAATCCGAGTGAGAGTCAGACGTGAAAGCGACGGGAATGAGCACTGTGTACGGAGCGATGGACGCTCGCGTTCAGCTGCCCACACTGGCTGCGTCCAAATTGACAGACTTCTTTGTATGAGCGGAGGGGGAGGAGCAGCGTCTCCTGTGTGAGCGCGGAGGAGGAGCGAGACAGGTACACATCAAAAACATATTAAAAGCATTAGCAAACAGCATATGCCCTACTTTAGTGCTCACGAGTGCAGTGGATTTTGGGCATAAAAATCCTTGTCAGTGTGGAGGAGGAGAGGAGGTCAGTGTGGAGGAGGAGAGGAGGTCAGTGTGTGTGGAGGAGGAGAGGAGGTCAGTGTGTGGAGGAGGAGAGGAGGTCAGTGTGTGGAGGAGGAGAGGAGGTCAGTGTGTGGAGGAGGAGAGGAGGTCAGTGTGTGGAGGAGGAGAGGAGGTCAGTGTGTGGAGGAGGAGAGGAGGTCAGTGTGTGGAGGAGGAGAGGAGGTCAGTGTGTGGAGGAGGAGAGAGGAGGTCAGTGTGTGGAGGAGGAGAGGAGGTCAGTGTGTGGAGTAGAAGAAGGTCAGAGTGTGTGGAGACGATGGCAAAAACGTTACTTGATGGAAAGAAGCACTTCAACCTCATCCTCCATGTGTTGCAGCCTCTGCTCTGAGAGTTTGGGAGAGGTTTGTGGTGTGTTGTGTAGAAATGAACAAAGTAGATTAATGTTATGTGTGAATTATATACACCTATATTTTTAGATGTGTTTTTTTTTTCAGATCTTACTACTGTAGTCATTGTTGTTTTTTAAGGTTTTCAAATCATTTAATATGGAAGAAATAGCTTGAATGGATTTCTATGAAATAAAATATTTGTTTGATGTCCGGACCCTAATCTATTGAACTAATCAAGTAAGTGGACCTCGTGCCAATTTAATTGGGGACCCCTGTTATAGGTTTTTCAGTTTGTTGGCCCCGAAATGATTTGATATTTGCGCTTCCCTGGCCATGGGAGAATTGGGACAGGGGAGAGGAACCGGGTGGCCCAGAACAGACGTGTGGCCTGGGCCGCCTGCTCACAGGTGCGGTGGACATGGATCAGAAAAAGCTCCCGTCGAGGAGCGGACCAGGAAATAATGGCACCGGGGAATACCAGCGGGTCAGCTCTAATATTAATTTGATATCGCCTCAAGGGCCAAATTTGGCCCGTGTGCCAGAGTTTTATACCCATAGTCTAGGAGTCTGGTGTGTGTGAATGATCTGTGATGGTCAGAAGGGACGATCGATCGCTCTGGGAAGCTGTGGCTAAGTGAGTGGTTTACCACCCTGTATGGAGTGAACCCTGCCTCGAGCACGGCTCAGTTGTTCACACGTCTGCTGGCCTTCGGCAAGTCAGATACTCTGTGAGCTGGGTGAGGTCCGGTGCGAGAGCAACCCCACATTGCAGTCAGTATAAGTATTATCCTTAAACTTCTGATTGTTTCTGAATAACATTAAATCCTCCTGCTAATTAATTTTACTTAGCAGTAATGAAATGATCCGAGCATATTCGGACGTTCTGGAGGCTGTTGGTTTTTTGTTGTTGTGCCATTTCTCTCATTTCTTGGAGATTTCTTCTGTTTTTGAGCCATGTGAAAGAAGGACAGCAGGCAGTCGGTAAAACAACTTATTTTCCCTGTCTCCACCAATTGTTTAAGCCAAAAACGGCACAGAGTTTGAACATGTTTATGCAGTGCCGGGTGCACGCCACTACCACAATGCGTTTGCCTGTCCTCCAATATGGCGGAGGCTTCGCGACTTCAAGCCCTTCTAACGTCCGCTAGCTAAAAGCTGCACTGACTGACTTTGTTTTTGTTTTCATTACGAAAATTCTATCCATGCAATGCATTGGGATATACGTCCTTTTGAAGAAAAAGTAGCGCAGATTTGTGCTTGTCATTTAATTTTAGATCGAGTTTTCGTGAAACAAGGTTGTGACCAATCACAGCGGACTACTGGCCCCCGCTTTCTTGAAAAGCCACAGGTCTCTGGTTAGCGCAAGCAGCTGAGATAAACAAGCTTCCCGTGTCTTCGTTACCGGTTACTGCTTACACAGCGAAACAGCCATCCAAAAGAAAGTCTCGCTCCCGTTTCAATCATTCTATGGTCACGCCAGCGACGTTCAAATGTGTCCATATTGTGAGATGTGAGCTCCATATACAGGTAGCATGAGCAGAGGGTAGTGGGGGGGCAAAAGCTCAGTGTGGGGAGGGCGAGCAGAGAGCGCGAGCTCAGCGTTCTCATTTGAAAATTTCTCAAAGTCAGTTAGTGTAGCTTTAACTCCGCTAGCTTAACTCCGTTAGCCAAGGACTTCTGGTCTGAACATCCCAAGCCTCTATAATTTTTGAGAATGTGCGTCTACTGTGCGTGGAAACTGCGTTCCAGCGTCAGCGGTCTGAACGGTCCATAAGACGGCACTCGCGTACTACTGCTACTAATTTTTTGCGTTAACGTAATCGATTACGTCGATGCGTCTGCTCCACACGGACGGAGGGGCCATAGAGCCAGGACCTAAGCCACAGATCGAGGACCAAGTCAAGCAGGCGTTTAAAACAAGGACAGGTGTGGCGCAGGACTGAAACAGCCACCAGGTACGGAGGGGTTGCAGCCCACAAGGCGGGTTGGGCAGGCCAGTCCGTAGGTGCAGATGGAGGGGGCTGGGTTCACGGGTCCCGTTGTCACGACATGACACAGACAATGGGACAACGGGTGAATAGCAATAAACAGACTAAAGTTGTAATGCAGACAATTAAAGTAGGAAGGAGGAGCTGAACTCACAAAAGAAGCTGTTCGCATCTTTGACTTAGCTGAGGCTAGCCTGGTCTTACCACACACACCATCATACACATTTAATTTCATACTAGGGAACATGTTCATTGGCTAGAATCTAAGCTGGAGCAGTTCAGTAGAATTTATTTATGGACATATGCATTTGCCCCATTTTGAGTTTTTTGTAAGAGATAAAAGCAAGGAATCATTGAAACCCAATATCTCTTTTAGAATGTTCTACTTAAAAGTCCAAATAATATTCTTAAGTTAAATCTCAAGCCACATACACTTTCCTCTTTTTCAGTTTGGCATCTGGCACAGGAGAGTGTGACAAGTTAAAACATGACGTACGGGCTTATAGCTCCTCAATGACATGTTCAATGATTTCACTTAAAGACCTTATGCAGGGTTTGTATCCATTTAGTCATTTGTAGGTTTCACTCCATTTGTCGTTTTCATGCGCCACGTTTCCCTCTAAATATGGATTAAAGCTTTTAACATTTGGCTGTTAGCCAAAATACTACTTTTTTTTTTTGCCAATTGGTTCATAATTGTACATTCCGGGATTCTGTGTATGTTGACATTGAACAACCTGCTGATCCTGTTGGTCTTCTGTTGAACTGGGAGGGCCTGGCTGCATTGATTTACTCTTGCTTCAAGATTAGGTTAAGGTTAGCCTGGCCTTAGCCATCCGTACACTCCGTTCAATCATCATTTCACTGCATGTAACGTCTGGGTCTAGTCCCTATGTTTACAATCAATTACAATCGGTTGAATTTCGACCGACCAGAGAGTGCGGAAGGCAGGTGTTGTAGTTAGTTGTGGGTGATGTCAAGAGTTTGCGTCGAACAGGCAGGTTGTAATTTGGTAATGGCGAAAAATGCGATAGAACCAGACCGGATTACTTTACTATCAAGAAATTGAAGCTGGAGCATGGGTAATGTTTAGCAAATGTAATCATTTCATTTCATTTTCAACCCCTTTGTCCATTTCTGGGTCGGGGGGGGGTGGCAATGAGAGCTGCCACCCAACGCTCATAGCACCAGTCCCTCGCTGATCTTCTGCAGGTGGTGAGTCCACAGGAAGATGGCTGCTCCGTCAATTGTGAAACAGCCTTGATCTTTCAGTGGGGGGCTTCAGGCAATGTGGGGTTAAGTGTCTTGCCCAAGGACACAACGACAGCAGTCATCAGTGGGAGCAGTTGGAGTAGGTCCCATGGTGGGAATCAAACTCACGACCTCCAAGCCCAAAGGCCAATGCTCTACCAACTGAGCTACTGTCGCAAATGTAATCGCTGGAAAAAATTGTGGCGCTACTCCCTATGGGCTCCGTTAGCGGCAAAGGAGAGGGCTAGGCTAAATGCTAACAGACTCGGGCGCACTACATACGTCACGGTAAACTCAGATCCTATTGTTTCAATCTACAAAAGGAGTTAACCCTCCCACCTGTAAACGGAGCTCAATGGAGCACCTCCAGACCTTAGTACGAAATGTCATTTGTACTATGGTGTGGTACGACCAGGCTAGGTTAAGGTGGTTGCAAACATTGCTTCGTGGGATTGACATCCTCATGTTAAGCTGAATCCTGGCAACACAAATAGACTATGGACTGTGGTATGTGGTAATTACACTGTTGCATCAAGAGATGATGTCAACATAAAATGGGGGTCAAATATTACTCTGCTTTCAGCTATGATTTATGTGGAAGTGGACCTAGGGCAACTGTTACAAAGGACTTGCTGTACACAAATTGTCAGTGTTTCTTTTGAAGACTATTTTCAGACTGTTTATGTAATACTTTCTTGTCAATTGAATTAAAAAAATTAGGTTGTATTTAAACGTTTATCAACCTTGCTTGAGACTGTTCTTGATCAATTTAAAGGGGCACCTTTTATCATTTTAAAATGAAGATGCTCAAGGTGGATATGTTTTTCCATTGAGACAAAGGCCCCTTTCCAATTCTGAGGGCCCTCCAGGTGTAAGTGCCTTCCCATAGGAGAGTGCACTCATAGGATATTCTCCTTTAAGAAATGGGACACCCCAGAGGTGTGCGGACCCTGGACTGTGGCTCAGATGCAGCCCTCTGATATTTCCATCAGGCTCCTGAGCCCTTCTTAGTTCAAGATAGGCCTTGTTTAGACGGAGATGCTGCAACAGTAAAACGGTAGAGTTGGGTGTCGATTTGGCCTCTGAAAACGCAAGTGCTGAGAAGCAGTCTCCATAGTGGAACAGAATAGATACCCTGCGGGGTCTGTTTCAAAGCCGCATGAAGAAAAACTTGTGAATTCTCTGCCTGCTATGACCTCAACGCTTCCCTGCGCGTATATTTGGACATGCACAGCCGAGAACAAACGTACACAATTGCGGTGGGTTCACTAATCATACATGTGCTTTGTCCGTCTAAACATAACCATTCTACGCTCTAGTTTGTTTCCTTTTTTGCTGCCACTGTTAAATGCAGAAGAATTGGTGTATTATTTCACATCTTTGCAGTGGCCTCAGAAGGATTTTGTTGATTAAGTGGTTCTACCACTCACGTGGTGTACTGGGCGGGCTACATTGTTTTCCTCTGGTGTAGACGCTGCGTGCCGAGCTCTGGGGCCACAGTTGCGCTCAAGCCAAGATCAAGCCTGAAAAAAACAATTGGGCAAATGCCTTCCCTAACCCTTTCAACTTGTTTTCAATAGATTGTTTGCTCAGTTAAACTGTAGAAGCCTAGGATTAAACAAGGTATATTCTGGTATATACAACTGGTCTTACTATGTTGTTTTATTTACTTGATTAATCCTGATTTAAAGAGTCAATCATCTTACTTTACACTCCTCAAAATGTCCGATACGCATATAAACAGCTATAATATATCAATAACATACAAACCAAATTAAGTGTGGTACATGGTTTTGAATTAAATGCTCAGTAAGTAGAGTCGCTGCTTTTTCACGTTGAGCATCTGTTTTGGGTGCCACCTGGACGTCTCCCTGGGGAGCTGTTCTGGCGTGTCCTACCGGGAGGAGACCTGACCCAGGACCAAGCCCCGGTGATCCAAGATAGTGTCCTGTTAAAATCAATGGCTTGTGCTCAGTGGTGCATTTGCCACTATGGGGACCGAAAGATTAGCAGAACGTGCCCATATTTGGTTATCATCTGGTCCTCCTGGTTCTGCGCAGTGTACGAGCTCCCATGATGCGTGGGTGTGTGGCTCTCATACGTGCACAGAGGGGCTCGGCCGCGCTTTGATCAATCAGAGCAGAACTAGAGTGGGAGTTAGAGCGGGAGCCAAACAAGCAGAAATTGTGGCAGTACCTTTATGAAAGCTGTAGGTTCTGTCAGCTGAGGTCGAGCTGTTTTAGTTTGCATTGAGTTCTATGGGGAAATTTCTGTCGATCGCGTGTGTGTCAAAATTGAGTTCTTTTTGACCATATTTTAGATGATCTAAATGCGCTTTTTTTCCTGATGTTGACTATTTTGAGTCATAAACTGGTTCTTTTCCAACAAAATAGATATGTTTTTTCCTAAGGGGTTTGGCCAGTTATTGCTTTTGTTTTGTACATTGTATTTCACTTAGAAGTTTCTAATTCACTTTTGTGATGTTTGCAGATCAGGCCCCACAATCCCTGGACAGCTGCTTCTGTTCAGTCATCAACAAGTTTGTGGAGCATAGTGGAGGATATAGTTCCCTTAAGATCTCCCCCATTTGAGTGAGAGGCGGGGGGAGGGAGGAGGAGGTGTGCTGCTGAGTCCACCCGGAGCATGGGGCAGAAAGTCCCTGGTGGCATCAAAACCATTGACATGCGGGACCCAGCTTTCAGCCCTCTGAAGCTGGAGCTGCAGGCGTTGAACCACACCAAACCTGCGCGGCTGGACCTGTTGCTGGACATGCCCCCTGCCGGCCCTGACCTCCAGATGCAGCACTCCTGGAACAATGACGATCGCTCCAGAAACATCTTTGTGAAGGATGACAACAAGCTGGTTTTTCACAGGCATCCTGTGGCCCAGAGCACAGACGCCATCAGGGGCCGTGTGGGCTACACCAGAGGACTGCATGTTTGGGAGATCAGCTGGGCCATGAGACAGAGGGGCACGCATGCTGTGGTGGGTGTGGCCACCAGTGAAGCCCCTCTGCACTCTATGGGCTATACGGCTTTAGTCGGGAGCAATACTGAGTCCTGGGGATGGGACCTATGCCGCAGTAAACTTTATCATGACGGCAAGAACCATCCAGGTAAAACGTACCCAAGTTTTCTAGAGCCCGACGAGACTTTCATTGTTCCTGACTCTCTTCTTGTGGTGCTGGACATGGACGAGGGCACCCTGGGTTACATCGTGGATGGACACTACTTGGGTGTGGCCTTCAGAGGACTTAAGGGCCGCAAGCTCTATCCCGTAGTCAGCGCTGTATGGGGCCACTGTGAAATACGCATCCGCTACATCAACGGACTTGACCGTAAGTGCTACTCTCCAGTACATTGTTACCCAATGATTTGAGCATGCTTTTATTTTATTATATTGGTGTGTTCACAGTAATGGGCTAGACACACGGGAGGCGACATCGCATCGCCTCCATTCATTTCAATGGGACGTGCGCGACATAGCGTCAATCGCTAGCGAGCCTCCTGCTCAGCGACGGGCGAAAAACGTGCGTGTGAAATCCTCCTGCTCGTGCATGTATCGTGCACGCGCAGGTCAGCGACGCGATCCCAGAAAGTTGAAATCGGCTCAACTTTTCGACGCTGTCGTCAAGCCGCATCGCGCCCCGTCTGTCATGTTATCTGAGCGACAGCGTTGAGTTTCGCTGATCGCTCTCATTTGTCGCCTCCCGTGTGTCTAGCCCTTGAAGCGTCAGTTAAAATATCTGGACTTTAAAAGGTTATAACTCAAACTAAATTTTCTTATCATAGCTTGGAAAAAAATATTTCAAACACAGGCATATTAAAAAGATGGTATACATAAAATCAGAAGGAAAGATTGACAAATACATTTTTGTCGAAACTGGATGGATGGATGGATGGATGGACATTTAAATGTTAATCTGAGAACACATTATACTTATACATTATTAATACACATGCACGGAGGTTTTCAGAATTATTTGTTAACGTTTTCATGACAAAAATGTTTTGATGCACGAAAAAGCGACCGCGGTAAACCCGGAAGTAGCTATTAACGTTGATTGAACATTATAGGACACATCTGCGGAGGATCTGATTATGGATATAGGCTCAGTATATAAATGGTTAACGCAGCGCGGATGTTCAGAATTCTGTTTTCATGAAGTTCTAGAGCCTATAAAGGCTTGATTCGGAGGTTCTGCGAAAACAAACTGAGCATGCGCTCAGCTACGAGCATCAGCGCTGATGATTGACAGCCCTTGGCATCACTTGATTGGTTAACATGGACGGCATCGTGGATTTCTAGCTATAGCTAAGAGAAGGGAATGCGGGACTTACCCGTAATATTAGAATTCATAAAATTACTTATTTCATATCAATATTTAAGGCCAGGAGGTCAATTCAATACAATTCGTAAAATGTGTAATTCATTTAGAGTTCCAGACTATCACTTTAAACAAAAGATAATACAAATTTAAATGACCTTTGAAAAATATGTAACAGACGTGGTGGTTTCCGTCAATTTTGTTCTAAAGATTAAACTTTAAAATGGCCTAGTTTCACATCAAACTGTATATGCAGCAGTGTAATACCAGTCCTGCCACTGAACGGTGCTTACTCAGCCATGCATCTGGAACTTAACAAAGTAAAACAGAGTTCACTTTTTAAACCAATAGACTGTGTGTGTTCCTCGCACCGGCTCAGAAATGTGTTTTAATTTGAATAAACACAAATATAACAGAAGGACAGCAGTTAGACGGTCCAACTCAGGAAATCTAATTCCAATTCTTTGTAGTCAATCAACTAAACCCACTGACACTGACATTATTTTTAACCTTGCTCTGCTTAATGTCAGATCACTATGCAATAAATCCTTTTTAATTAATAATTTTATCTGTTCTTATGATCTTGACTTTATGTTTATGACTGAAACTTGGCTTGACCATAATACAGAAAATGCAGTTTTAATAGAAACAACACCACCAAATTTAAAATTTGAATCAGAAATTCGAGAAAATAAAAGAGGAGGAGGCACAGCAGCAGTTTTTAAAGATTGTATTGTCTCCCATAGAGTACCTCTTAGGAAATTTTCCTCATTTGAGTATGTCTCTTTTAAAATAGAACAAAAACAATCTTCTATTCTTATTATTGTTGTGTACAAGCCGCCACAGTCATGTCATAGTTTCACTGATCATTTCACCGAGTTGCTTTCAGTTGTGTGCACAGACTTTGATAGTTTAGTCGTCATAGGTGATTTTAATATACATGTAGATAACGTTAATGATAGATGCGCGAAAGAGCTGAGCTCTGTGCTGGAAACCTTTGGTCTCACTCAACATGTGAGTGGCCCCACCCATAGCAGAGGACACACTCTCGATCTGCTAATTACTAAAGGGGTTAATATCTCAAATGTAAATGTGGCCAATGTTGCTCTGTCAGATCATTTCTGTGTATTTTTTGATATGTGTCTCAATAGTAAAGCACGAGCTGAATCCTCAATTGTTAGAAGAAGAAGACACATAAACAAAAATACAGGTGAACTTTTCATGGGGATGATAAACTTTGATAACACGTTGTGTTCTACTGTGGATGAATTACTTAACTCTGTCACCTCTAGTGTTTTGGATGTTCTGGACACGATTGCTCCTGTAAAGGTCAAAATTGTTACAAATAAGCAAAAGGTGCCATGGACAAAAGCAGACTCTGTCAGGGCACAGAAGAGAGAGTGCCGGAGAGCCGAGCGGAAGTGGCGAAAGTCAAATCTCCAAGTTGACCATGAGATCTTCAAAGATGCATTGTGCAAGTTCAACAGTGTGCTACGTAGAACGAGGGAAACTTATTTTTCCGAAACAATCGAAGGTTGTAGTGGCAATCTACGCGTTCTGTTCTCAACGGTAAATAAATTGACAAATCCCCCTGTTAAGATGCCATCAGAGCTTACCTCCAAAACCAAATGTAATGAGTTTGCAGAGTTTTTTAATGACAAAGTCCAAGGCATCAAAAATGCCATCACCTCCACAGTAGAAATTACAATCCAACACCCAGTGAAGCTTTTTGGGCTGACACACTTTGCACCAGTACAAAATGAAACTGTCCAAATGATAATTACAAGTCTGAGTTCTTCTACATGTAGCCTGGATGTATTACCTCCTAGATTTCTTAAATCTGTTCTGAGCAGTCTTTTACCTTCACTCACGCATATAGTAAATATGTCTCTTGAATCTGGAACATTCCCAATGGCCCTGAAAACGGCAGTCATCAGACCCCTCCTAAAAAAGAGGAGTCTGGATGCCTTGGCACTTAAAAGTTATCGGCCCATTTCAAATCTGCCTTTCATGGGTAAAATTCTAGAAAAAGTTGTCTATCAACAACTTACAGAATTTTTAATAATCAATCACTCTTTTGATATGTTCCAGTCTGGTTTTAGACCCCACCACAGCACAGAGGCCGCTCTAGTGAAGGTAACAAATGACATCAGACTTAACACTGACGCAGGAAAAGTCTCAGTTCTTATCCTGTTACATTTGAGTGCTGCTTTCGACACTGTCGATCATGGTATCCTCATTCAGAGACTTGAGGACTGGGTTGGTGTTTCTGGAACAGCCCTAAGCTGGTTTATATCCTACCTACAGGACAGAAAGTATTTTGTGGAGATCGGAAACTGTGTCTCAGACCATCTGGCCCTGACCTGCGGAGTGCCACAGGGCTCAATCCTGGGGCCTCTCCTGTTTAATATTTACATGCTGCCTCTGGGTAGGTTAATACACAGTAATAACGTGTCCTATCACAATTACGCTGACGATACTCAGGTCTATGTGTCCCTGACAGCAGGAGAACATGGACCAGTGGACTCGCTCCTTCACTGTATCCAACAGATCAGTGATTGGATGCAAAATAACTTTCTCCAGCTAAACACAGAAAAAACTGAAATTATTGTTTTCGGACCTCAGAAACAAAGAGAGAGCGTTATCTGCCACCTCCAGTCTCTCTCCCTGAAACCCTCAACTCAGGTCAGAAATCTAGGAGTAATAATGGACTCAGACTTGAATTTCAATAGCCACATATCATCTGTGACATCATCAGCTTACTTCCACCTAAGAAACATTGCTAAAATTAAAAACATTGTGTCTAAAGCAGACTTGGAGATTCTTATCCACGCATTTGTCTCCAGTCGATTGGACTACTGCAATGGCTTGTTCACAGGTCTCTCTAAACAAGCGGTAAAACAGCTGCAGTACATCCAAAATGCTGCAGCTCGAGTCCTGACTAGAACCAGGAAGTACGACCACATTAGTCCGGTCCTCAGGTCTCTGCACTGGCTTCCTGTGGCTCAGAGAATAGATTTTAAAGTAGCTTTACTTGTGTACAAGTCTCTCCATGGCCTCGCACCGGGGTACATCCGCGACATGTTGGTGCCATATGAACCGGCTCGGGCTCTGAGGAGCACAGGGACTGGACTTCTGTTAGTGCCAAGAGTCGGAACTAGACATGGGGAGGCTGCGTTTCAGATTCATGCAGCTAGAGTCTGGAACCGTCTTCCCGAGAGTGTGAGACAGGCGTCTACTCTGGCAGTTTTTAAAACTGAACTG